TTGAACCTAACATTATTTATTAGATTCTAWATTTTTGCATACTGATAATCTTCTTCCTCATAAGTTTAGGATTTGGAGTTTCTATATTATTCAACATATAATCCTAGAGTTTATATAAATAACGTCAGATCTAAAGCTACATCAAACTTTAGATGGCGAAGAATGGTTCTAAGTCTCAAAAAAAAAAAAAGAATGGTTCTGAAAATTGTGGTGCAGCTCTTGCGTATCTGGGTCCTAATAACATTGATCTTAAGGTTACGATATTATTTATATCTTATTTTGGTCTCGCAGGTTTGTCCTCGACGAGGTATTTTTTTTTGTTTTAATTGGTGTAATGGTTGATTTATATTTTCTTTTTATGATAAAAACCTTAGCAATATGTGTCCATCGGGATGTTGATTTTGTATATGGTTTCAGAACATGTACCTTTGACCACATTATACAAGAAGTGGAAGCTCAACGATTAGACAAGACTGGATCTTGATGGATAATGGCTGGAACGGGAAAGTGCTAAGGATTAGGGTGGGACGGGACGAGTAATGATTGGGATGGGACCTATGTAAGGACTGGGGCGGGACGGGTAAGAACTGGGGCGTGAAGCGAGTACGAGACGAGGCACATAGGTTGGGATATTAACCGTGTTTGTTAACTGATATAATAATTAATTTTTGTGATGAATGTAAATGATTAATTTAAAAATATTTTTATTATTCCTATCCTGCGCAAGGCGCGGGTACCTGCCTAGTTTAATATTAACTTCGTTTTACAAGAAGAAAAAGAACGTACATTAAATTAAAAGACATCATTCGGCTAAAACCCCATGTAAGATGTAAATGTTGAATGTTTTTTTTTAACATACACACACAAAAGAAACTTCAATCAACTCGTTTTTGTAATTATTATTTTTTGAAATAAATGTTACATTATATTAAAAAAAAAAAACTGTTTTGCATGAACTGCAACTGTTTACTGAAATTTTAAATAAAATTTAAAACCAATATCGAAAGTTTATCGAATCCCAAACCATTTATCATTAGCATGATCTCATGCAGCTCGGATCAAGCTCATGTGATTGCGCATGTTTTTTATCCACTATTTTTACAATGATCTTAAATGAGTTTGGTTTCTCTCTGTGGTGGCGGCAATTTCGATGTGGTATATCGTCGATTGAAAAAGATATGTCACAAAGTTTCAAAAAAAAAAAAAAAGATACGTCACTTTTGCAATTTTAGTCAGAATAGTTGAATAGGAAAAACGACCAACATCACTTTTCAATGTGATTAAGTATTAAGATTGCAATTTTGTTGTGAAGTTTCTATCGACGTATTCGAAATTTGTCTCTAATTTTTTATAATTTTAATGTGAAAAAAAGATCTATCTATTTTTACTTATGTTGATGGATGAAGATGTAATTCTCTTTTTTAGAATAACCCAGAAAAATAAATTTAATGGAAATTAATGTTTGCACAGAAAAAAGAAAAGACATGAGATAGTTAAATTCCTTTTTCTAGTTACTTGATTGAAACAATTAAATACTGGTAATTAATTTTCAAAATGA